TGGTCAGACCTTGTGTTTAAGGGAAAATGAGACTCCCTCGTGACGACTAAAGTTGACAACTGCGTTGTTGCATTTGAACTTGCGAAGGTGACATTCTATAAGTGTTTCGGATTCATCCGAATCATCAATCAGATACGTGCGGGTGCATCCAACTTTGAAGGCGATGCGTATAGACTTCCCCAAGGAAGATCCTTGGCCAAACAACAATCCGTCGGATTCTGTATGTGCGACTCGATAACTGCAGACCATCGAGTTTATGTTCTTGCACGCCTTCGAGGCAAACGACGCTTCCAAACAGTCCGCCGCCCTCTAGATCGTCTGGTGCTGCCATTAAATGTGGTGCTCGTGTCCGAGGCCCTCTGTGCAATACCCGCTGCATGGCAGAAAATGACGTGAGCGACGACGGCCGAGGCTGTAATCATGCATGTCCACCAGAACATCTTCTGTCTCGGATTCATCCAAAGTCGCCGGCTGCACATGCGTTTTCATTCTCATCCCCGCAAAAGTCGTCTGTTACCCTGGACACCTCTTTGCGTCAATACGCTTCAAATGGGCCGATGATAAGCAGCCGCGCAGAATGCATGGCACGTCCCGATTGCGAAATCGTCGGGTCTTTTTCTCGCGACGGCGAAGGCTCGTGATCACCCCCGGTGACGACGACGATGGTTTTTGGATTGGATGCCATGAAATGTGGTGCCATGTCCGTAGCCCTCTGTGCAACAGCCGCTGCCAGGCCGAAAGTGATTGACAACGCTGGTCGACGCTGCCATCGACCTTGTCCGACATGTCATCTTGTGTCTCGGATCCATCCAAAGTTTGGGGCCTCTGGAGCTTGTTCCTTCTCGTCACCGAACGTTCAGCACCTGCACAGAACACCAAAAAACTTTCCGATTGGAACATCGCGGGGTCATCGAGTTGTCGACTCCCACATGATGATTACAGTGAACAGCGGCATGATGGCAAGTTCGCCTCTCGGATGTGGGTCTAACGGTGGATAGTGTCAAATCTGCTCTCAAAGATCCACACCGGAGAGGGGGGCCAGCAATCGACCACTACTTGCTTGTAAAACATCATATGATGTGTCGATACAACCGACATTCAGAACTGGTCGGTGAGCATCTGGTGCTACGCCAAAAAGTTCGTCATGCGGCCTCAATATTCCCYCGCGATTGCTCATTTTGGGGTTCTCGCGTCATAGACTCCCTTATGATGACTACAGTTAACAGCGGCGGGGTAGTAGGTCCTCTTCTCCGATATGGATCTCACGGTGGAGTGTGGAACTCTGCTCTCAAAGATCCACACCGGGAAAGGGGGCCCGCTATCAACCACGGCTTGCTTGTAAAACATCATATGATGTGTCGACACAACCGATATTCAAAACTGGACGGTGAGCATCTGGTGCTACGCCGGAAAGTTCGTCATGCGGCCGCGACATTCCCCCGCAATTGCTCATTTTCGGGCTCTCGCGTCATAGACTCCCTTATGATGACTACACTTAACAGGGACAGGGTAGCAGGTCCCCTTCTCCGATATGGATCTCACGGTGGAGTGCGAAACTCTGCTCTCAAAGATCCAGACCGGGAAAGGGGGCCAGCTACCAACCATTGCTTGCTTGTAAAACATCATATGATGTGTCGATACAACCGACATTCAGAACTGGTCGGTGAGCATCTGGTGCTACGCCAAAAAGTTCGT